CTTGAGCCCAGGAGTTGGAGGTTGCTGTGAGCGTGATGCCATGGCACTCTACCCAGGGGGATAGCTTGAGGCTCCGTCTCAAAAAATAAATAAATAAATAAATAAATAAATGTTTTAAAAAAAAAAGTACCTATTTTCTTCAAAATATATCTTTGCTACTCATGAACTGGGTTGAACTTTTCACCCCTAAATTCTGGCTATTCCTTTGCCCCTTAAAAAAAGAGAAGGATGCAGCCACCTGTGTTTCCTCTGGCCCTCCAAGTACTTGAGGACAAATTCCCTCACATATACGTGGTAGGATATGAGCCTTTTAGAACCATATCTTCTCTAAGAACTTTAGTGAGATACACTTGATGTCTAAACTATTTCTTATGCTTCTTCAGGTGCTCATGGGAACAATCTCATTGCTGTTCTAGCCAAGTACATCTACCACAAACATGACCCTGCTTTGCCACGTCTTGCCATTCAGCTGCTGAAACGACTGGCCACGGTAAGATCCCACTATCCAGTTATAGCCCCAGGAAACTGATCCTTCCTGCTGGAGACCAATCTCCAGATCATTCTCCCAAAGGAAATAGCTAACTAACTTGGACTTCTCTGACTTTAAAGTAATACAGCCACCCATACACGTAGATACACATAAACAGGTGTATTTATATGAGGGTGTTTTTTCCCGAGTACAAAATATATATATGCTCATTATAAAATATTTAAATTTTACAGATAGATGTAACATAGGAAGTTAAGGTGACTTGTGATCCCCTTATTCCAAGAATCTCTATGGGCAGGGATTGCATTGCTCTAGATTTCTTTATATCTGTATTTATGTATTAAATAAATGTGTTTGGGGCCTTGATCAGATGGATCTATTAAGTATGTACTTTTGTTCTTTACAAAAGTAGAATTCTATTACACGTACTGTTTGTGACTGGCTTATTACATGTACCTTGTTGTATGGTTGTCCTACGTGAGCACATTTGGACACACTTCATTCTCTCTAGCATTGTATATTATACCCTGGGATGGATACACCTGACTTATTGAGCTATTTTCTATCTCACTATTTTAAACAGTGCTGCAGTGACTGTTATTATTCTGAGAACCTTATAACTTTGTTATATTAATAATTCCTAAAAATCAAGTCGGTATAAATGAACATTTTAATTTTTAGTAGATATTTCCAAATTGCCCTCTGTGAAGATTTTAACAGTTTATACTCTTCTAACACCAAGTCTTACATCCTTGCTACAATGGCTTCATTAGTTCTTTAACCTTTGTCATCTAATAAGGCTAAAAAATGCTATTGTGGTATAATGGCTCACACCTATAATCTTAGCACTCCAGAAGGCTGAGGCAGGTGGGTTACTTGAGCTCAGGAGTTAAAGACCAGCTTGAACAAGAGTAAGACCCCTGTCTCTACTAAAAAAATGGAAAAATTGGGGGGCATCTGTGGCCCAAAGGAGTAGGGCGCTGGCCCCATATGCCGGAGGTGGCGGGTTCAAACCCAACCCCAGCCAAAAACTGCAAAAAAAAAAAAAAGGAAAAATTATGGTTGGGTGTGGTAGCTCATGCCTATAGTCCTAGCACTGTGGGAGGCCGAGGCAGATGGATTGCCTGAGCTCAGAGGTTGGAGACCAGCATGAGCCAGAGTGAGACCCTGTCTCTACCAAAAAAAAAAAAGCTGGGCATTATGGCGGGCACCTGTAGTCCCAGCTACTTGGGAGGCAAAGGGCAAGAGAATTGCTAAAGGAAGAAAAGGAAAAAAAAAATTATAAAATGGAAAAGTTAGCCAGGCATTGTTGTAGGCACCTGTAGTCCCAGCTACTGGGGAGGCTGAGGCAAGAGGATTACTCAAGCCCAAGAGTTTGAGATTACTGTGAGCTATGACACCATGGTACTCTACCCAGGGCAGCAGAGTGACACTCTTGTCTCAGAAGAATAAAATTGCTATCTTGTTTTTTACTTTATATTTATTTAACCTTAAGTGAGAGAGGTTGAGTATCTTTTTGTGTTGATTACTATTTTTCTCCTATTTATTTTTTGGCATACCATGCTATTGTTTGTTATGATGTCATTTTTGACCCAGAGCTTTATGTCTAGATGTTTCTCTTTCTGCCAGTTTTTGGGAAGTTCTCCAGAGCCCTTCTCCAGGAGCCCACTGAGGTTTTTCTGGAAACACAGCTCTAAGCCTGCATGCCCCCATCTCCACCAGGTGGCCCCAATGTCAGTGTACGCTTGTCTGGGCAATGATGCGGCAGCCATTCGTGATGCCTTCCTAATCCGACTGCAGAGCAAGATTGAGGACATGCGCATCAAAGTCATGATTCTAGAATTTCTCACGGTTGCAGTAGAGACCCAGCCAGGCCTTATTGAACTGTTTCTGAATCTGGAGGTGAAGGATGGCAGTGATGGCTCTAAGGTGAGCCTGCATTTGGCATGAAGCATTTGGCATCTTCCTAGGATGTGGTGTGGAGCTCTGCAGGTGTGGCTCCCAGCAGTGGCTGGGAGACTGAACTCTCACCAGTCCCCCTTCCTGCAGGAATTCAGCCTTGGGGTGTGGAGCTGTCTCCATGCAGTGCTAGAGCTCATTGATTCCCAGCAGCAAGATCGATACTGGTGCCCACCTCTGCTGCATCGTGCAGCCATTGCCTTTCTGCACGCCTTGTGGCAAGACCGTCGGGACAGTGCCATGCTGGTCCTCCGAACCAAGTGAGTGGCTCTTCGAGTAGTTTTACTGTCCTTGTCAGCATAATGGGAATAACAATAGTTGTTGTCTCAGAGATTTGTTGTGACAGTTCACTTGGAGTGAGTATAAAACATGTTTAGTGTCTCGTCGGTACATGGGGGTTTTATACTTTAAGCATCTTTAAGGTTCAGATACTTTTGTGTTCCTGCCTTCTGCTAAGTCCATCAAAACCAGTATTTTTTTTTTTCCAAAACTCAGTATTCGGGGGTTTTTTTGTAGAGACAAGAGTCTCATTTTGTCACCCTCTGTAGAGTGCCGTGGCATCACACAGCTCACAGCAACCTCTACCTCCTGGGCTTAGGCGATTCTCTTGCCTTAGCCTTCCGAGTAGCTGGGACTACAGGCGCCCACCACAACACCCGGCTAGTTTTTTGTTGCAGTTTGGCTGGGGCTGGGTTTGAACCCGCCACCCTCGGTATATGGGGCCGGCACCCTACGCCCTGGGCCACAGGCACCGCCCAAAACCCAGTATATTTAAGAAACAGCAGATTCAAATGAAACTGGCTTGCTTAAACCATTGGACCAATAGAACAAACACTATTCTCTAGGACCTTCTTGACACAAAAGAAGGAACATTAAAAGGCAGAATTTTGGCTTGGCGTCTGTAGCTCAGTGGCTAGGGTGCCACCACATACCAGAGCTGGCAGGTTCGAACTCAGCCTGGGCCTACCAAATAGCCATGACAACTACAACCAAAAAATAGCCAGGAGTTGTAGTGGGCTCCTGTAGTCCCAGCTACTTGGGAGGCTGAGGCAAGAAAATCACTTAAGTTTAAGAGTTTGAGGTTGCTGTGAGTTGTGATGCCACAGCACCCTACCGAGGGCAACACATGAGACTCTGTCTCAAAAAAATAAATAAATAAAAAGGCAGAATTTAGAATTATGGGGCAGCACCTTTAGCTCAGTGGGTAGGGCGCCAGCCACATACACCGAGGTTGGCGGGTTCAAACCAAGCCCAGACCAGCTAAAACAACCAAAAGAAAAAAAGAATTTGGAATTCTACTGTCTTATTTCCTTCCCTACCCTTTTCTTTGTGAGCTGTTTGGAAATGTGTAGTGGAAGGAATCATTAGAGTTTTTATTGTTGGTGGCGCCTATAGCTCAGCAGCAGCTAGGGTGCTGGCCACATGTACCAAGGCTGGCAGGTTTGAACCTGGCCTAGGTCAGCTAAAACAACGATGACAACTGCAATAAAAAAAAATAGCCAGGTGTTGTGGCAGGTGCCTGTAGTCCCAGCTACTTGGGAGGCTGAGGCAAGAGAATTACTTAAGCCAAGAGTTTGAGGTTGCTGTGAGCTGTGATGCCACAGCACTCTACCGAGGGTGACAGCTTGAGACTGTCTCAAAAAAAATTTTATTTTTCTTTCTTAAGAGGAAAATCCAGTTTTATCAATGGAACTATATTTATGTAGGGTCATTTGTCCTATGAGATACTGTTAGGATTGGGATTAGTAAAGTATGGGAAGCTGGAGAGAAGAGAAAAGGACTATGGGAGAGAAAAGTGTTATTTCCAATGTGTATTTTCTTTCTAGACCCAAGTTTTGGGAGAACTTAACCAGTCCACTGTTTGGAACCCTTTCTCCTCCCTCAGAAACATCTGAGGTAAGCTATGGGACAGCAGCTATAGTCGCTGGAAAGACTAGGCTGTGAGAATGGGGCTGTAGAAAGTAATATCTCTCCTAATTAAACCACAGAATGTTTTCTTCATGGAAATTTCTATGTTAGAGTAGCGCCTGCTTTCTCTCCCTTTGGTGTTTTGCTTTGGGAAGGACAGTGGCTTGCCCTGCTGTTGTTAATGGCTCTGTGGTCCTGTCCACTCACTTGTTGACACTGTGGATCTAGCACTCTGCTTTTGCAAGTCAGGTGGCCATTCACTGTCAATAGGGAGTATGCATGCTTGTTCTCTAAGTATTGGGCCCTGCTCTGTTCACTTTGGGGAGAATTGGGGGAGATATTCATCCATGTGACCAGAGTCTGTTCTGTTTCCCCTCCATAGCCCAGTATCCTGGAAACCTGTGCCCTAATCATGAAGATAATTTGCTTGGAAATATACTATGTTGTTAAGTGAGTCCTTTCCCCTTTTGAGATTTTAATTGAACTTGGGAGGAGAGGGAGATCATGGTGGCCTAACCACTGGGTGCATGGCAGTATGAGCCATGGCAGAGGACAGAGCTGGTTTGGAACCATTTATGGAGGGACCGAGAGCTGTGTCCCTGTTCAACCCATTGATGGCGTTTATGATTGTCAGAAAGTTATTGTGAAGCAAACTCCATGTGACCGGGATTTTATGGAGGAGGAATCCTGGAAAGGCCTCAGCCTAACCCATTATGTTGAGCAAGAAGTATGAGCCCCACACTTTGGAAGTGATCCTGGAGCCGTCTGCCTTTAAGCCCATGTGAGGTTGTTTTCTCTGCCTCAGCAAGGGTCTGTGCCCATCACATTCCCATCTGTTTTCAAAACTTAACTGTGGGTTTTGTTTTTTCTTGACACCATAGGGGTTCATTAGACCAGTCATTAAAAGATACACTCAAGAAATTTTCCAGTGAGAAACGCTTTGCCTACTGGTCAGGGTATGTCAAGTCATTGGCAGTTCATACAGCTGAAACAGAGGGCAGCAGCTGTACCTCCTTGTTAGAGTATCAGATGCTGGTCTCCGCCTGGAGGATGCTTCTCATCATTGCCACCAGTCACGTAAGAACCTCCTGTGGCAAGTGTTCACTCTGATGTCTTAGCAATGATCTATTGAGGTGCTTTGCAGATAACAGCTCCTTGGGATGACAAAAAAACCAGGGTGGATTTATTTCTGAGAGCAGAAATAAATGTAGCAGATTGTGTGTGAAGAGATTGGGAGGCAAAGGTGGGGTATTTGAGGGTATTGGATCCAAGGGACTTTTAAGAAGAGTACAGAGAAATGATAGGAAATCCCTTCAGACGTTGGTAAAGCTTCCTGTAGCTCCCTCTCGGCCTTATTAGGTCTAAGGTGCTCCCTTCTTATTTGTACCTCCTGTGCAGATGTATAATTGCCTTATTGTGTTGTGTACCCTATAGATACTAGGTAAATACTTGATAGTAGTTAGCAGGTAGCTGTGACAACTGCAGCAGCACCTTGTCTAAAGAGCAGTTTATTTTTATTGGTTCTCACAACTTTATTTCCTAGTCTTGGAAAAAGAACAGTAACCATTATCTTTGTACTGTACGCTATTGAGAGTTGGTTTTCTGCTTTTGCTTTTTTTTTTTTTTTTTTTCTGAGAGTTGGTTTTGAGAGAGAGAGTTAACATTTGAGAAGAGTTTGCATCGTTTGTGGCTTTTTTGTGTGGTTTGATGTCATCATGCTGTATTGTAAGGTCTTGGTAGTGAACTATTTTTCTCTAGGGAATCCAGGTGAATATCTTGACTTCATTAACAACTTTAGCTTGATAAATGCCTCCTTATTCCAGACATCTCTTACATCTTCTGAGAGATTTGTTCCCTGGTGTTAGACTACTCACATGCTTGGAGCTTTGACCGAGAAAGAGTGAGTGTGTGAACATTCTTGCCATGGCACAAGTGGTTGTGGATCCCTAAGACTCCAAACTCACTGAAAGGCTCAGCTATCTTTGGGAGTGGTTGAGTCCCCATGGTATTACCTGTGTGTTGCCTGCTTTTTAGGCCCTAGTCAGGAGGCAGTTTTTGAGTTTATCTCTGAAAATCCCACCACTCTCTTTTCTTTACAAATGTAATCTGGCCAAGTCCAGAATGTTGTGCAGTCATTCAGTTAATGGCTATTAGTGGAATGCTTACCATGTGCCAAGGCATCAGTACACAGCAGAGAGTAAGGCAGATAAGATCTTTGATCTCACAGAGAGTGCTCCAGGAGGGAGATAATTTGTAAACAAATTCACCAGTAAAAAAATATGGCTTCAGGCTTGGCACCCGTAGCATAGTGGCTACAGCGCCGGCCATATCCACTGAGGCTGGCAGGTTCCAACCCGGCCCAGCCCAGCTAAGCAGTAATGACAACCGCAACAGAAAAACAGCTGGGCATTGTGGCGGATGCCTCTAGTCCCAGCTCTTTGGGAGGCTGAGGCAAGAGAATCGCTTCAGCCCAAGGTTGAGGTTGCTGTGAGCTGTGATGTCGCGGCACTCTACTGAGGGCGACATAGTGAAACTCTGTCTCAAAAAAATATATATATATATATGTATATATATAAAATAAAATTTATATATATAAATAAAAAATATATATGTGTATATATAATAAAATTTATATATATAAATAAAAAATATATATATATATGGCTTCAGATAGTTGTAACTGGCTATGAAGGAAACAGTATGCTATAGTAGTGAATGTGTGAGGTGGTAGTCAGGGAGCCCCTCTCTGAGGAGGTAATGTACCCCCAGAGGCCTAAGTGTGTTAAGAAGCCTTCCAGGTGGAGCACCTGTGGAGGAGAGGTCTACGCATGGTGGCTTATGAATGTCAAGGTACAGAAATGGGAAGGAGCTGCTTGTGTCCATGGAGGCAGGAGTCAAGTAGGGCAGGGCTGGACTGAAGTGAGCATGGTGGTAGTAATTCCAAAATCAGCTGGGCATGGACCTCTAGGTCATGTTGAAGAGTTTGGTTTGTATTTCCCAAGCACTGAGAAACCTTCGAAGGGGCTCTAAGCAGAGGAAAAATGGAGTCATGAAGAGGTAAACCTCTTGACAGCAATAGCAGGACACTCAAACCCCATTTTAAATCAGGGCCATAGTGACTTAGCAATGGCTACTTACTTGCCTGACAGAGGACACCACATTTTTTGGCTTCTAACTTTTGGGAAATGTTCCTGGTTGAAACCTTTTTCTGTTCCTTTGCAGGCAGATATAATGCACCTGACTGACTCTACAGTGCGTCGCCAGCTCTTTCTTGATGTGCTTGATGGGACCAAAGCGTTAGTAAGTGTGTCTGGGAGGCTTCTCATTCCTCTCAGGGAGAAGGTCTCCAGTGTCACATAGCAGAGCTTATGAGTCTGCAGCCAACCACATGGTGGTCAGGTCAGAGGGCTCATGTGCACATGGGGGCCCCTGAGGCTGTGGTGAACTCGCTGCTGGGGCAGAAAAGCGAGTGGCCAGGAAGTGTCCTGTAGATGGAGTGTGAGTCTTCTCACTGTGTGCTGTCTCCCCTCAGCTCCTAGTTCCGGCCTCAGTGAACTGCCTCCGCCTTGGCTCCATGATGTGCACCCTGCTGCTCATCCTCCTCCGGCAGTGGAACAGGTGAGTGCTGTGCCAGGAGAGGCGGGCAAGGCCAAAGCCTCCTGGGCAGTGCCTGTCCACTCACCTTACTGACCTTTTGCCTTCTCAAAGGGGAGTAAGTGGGTCTGAACTGGACTGGCTTTCCCTCATAGGGAGTAAGTGGGACATGGCAGAAGGCAGATGAGGCAGACTATCTGGGGGGCACCCTGACATGAAGCAGGTGTGGCCTCTTGGAACGTGTGTTATCCGTCCTCTTACTCCTATATTTTTTTTAGAGAGTTAGGTTCTGTGGATGAAATCCTCGGACCCTTGACAGAGATCTTGGAAGGAGTGCTGCAGGCAGACCAGCAACTTATGGAAAAGACTAAGGCCAAAGTGTTCTCAGCATTCATCACAGTGTTGCAGATGAAGGAGATGAGAGGTGAGGGACAGGGCAACAGGGAGCAGCAGTAGCAGTCTGCCCATCCCTGCTGACAGGCAGCCTGGGCAGGCCTTCCAACAACTCAGGGCCAGTTCCCTGCCTGGGAAGGAATCAATGAGAGTTGGCCTGGTGAGCATGACCATGTCCCTTCCCTGTCTGCTCTACAGTAACTGACATACCCCAGTACTCCCAACTGGTGATGAACGTCTGTGAGACTCTCCAAGAAGAGGTGATTGCACTCTTTGACCAAACTCGCCACAGTCTGGCATCCGGCAATGCCACGGAGGACAAGGATAGCATGGAGACCGATGACTACTCTCGGCCCCGGCACAAGGACCAGCGTGATGGGGTGAGGAAGTGCCCTAGTAAGCCCTCTGCCCTTCCCACTGCCTGTAGTTCTGTGCCTGACATTGCGGTGTCTAGTGAGCAAGACATGTGTAGTTGCTGTACTTTTACTAGAGTTTATAGCCTGGAAGATGGAAGATGGAAGAGTTAATAGATAAGACACTGCAGAGAAGTTCTATTGTGACAAGCACTGCAGGAGAGACGTGCAAGGAGAGACAGTCTCCAAGCCTAATTAGTGACTTGGAGACTCTGCCTTTTTGGACATGGCATGGATTGGTAGAGGCAGGCAAAAGAGATAAGACACTGCAGAGAAGTTCTATTGTGACAAGCACTGCAGGAGAGACGTGCAAGGAGAGACAGTCTCCAAGCCTAATTAGTGACTTGGAGACTCTGCCTTTTTGGACATGGCATGGATTGGTAGAGGCAGGCAAAAGAGA